CTCCCTTGAAACCACTGGACTATCAGGATATTTTAAGCTTTGTTCTAATCCTCAAATTTGTTTCAAGCCTTCATCTTTCCCTAGTCTATAGTCTTCCACTCCCAATACCTACTAGTTTTTCCTCCTCCCCTTATTTCTGAGGTTGCTGCCTACCTTTGTATCCCTGTTTTATTGTGATGAGTCTTAAAAGGCTGCCATTTCTGATAGACCTTCTCCTTCCCCCTTCATAATAAACCATTTTCTATAAACTCCTTTTCCCCATTTAATCAAACTACCTTTTCTAAGCCTCCCTCCCGCCTCTTCCCCTTCATAATGTGTCAGTTAATCCCTTTCAAATAGTCTTCCTCCTTTAACCACCTCCAGAGCAAATAGCCTCTTACCTCCCACCCCTAAAAGAAATTGCTTCCAACAAATCTCCCCTATCCCCTCAAATAAATAACTTTGCATAATCTGACTCAGTCTAAAATATTGCCTTTCAAAACCTCCACTCATTCTTCCTTCCCTCAAAGGCATGAACTTTCTCCTACCCTTCTTATCTGAGCTTTGAATGATCTCATTGGAACTGCTAATTTTTTTTTTAACTCTCAAAGTAAAAAGACCTGATGTAACCTCGTCAGGTCCCTTTCTGTCCTAGAGGAAAAGTTACAGCATAAAGTATATAATGTCTCACTTGTGCTTCTGTGATTGTTTTTCTTCTAATAAAATGAGAAGGAGGATACACTGAGCCATTCCCAGGCCAAACACATTCTACTGTTTATTACACATATTACATTCTTAAATAAAAATGCGTCACATAACATTTTTTGCATAGATATCTTACAATATACCAATTTAAAAAAGAATTATGAAACAGACCAGTAACAAAAATAAATTTTTTCTTCATTAATAATTTTGTAACATTAACATACCACCATCATATAATACAAATAATATTTTTAAATCTTAAGACTTTTTTACAGCAAAAAAACTTGACAAAGTAATATATTTATATATATATAAAAAGCTTAAAAAAAATAAAATGTCAAAAAAAGGCAGAACTGAGGGCTATAAGACTAGGTACTTCTGTGATATATTATAAATACCAGAGAAGGCCTGAGAGAATGTGACTGTGGGGTTGAGGGGTGGGTCTCTCCAAACATACTTGTTAGACATATCTGGCAAAAGAAATGATATAGTGCAAAAAACAAATTCCTTCAAGCAATATCTTTAAGGGGAAAAAAAAAGAGGATCAGATGTAATTTAAAAGCAAATAAGTTTGTGCGTGGAGGATTGTGGGAGAGAAAGAGGGGGTAGTTTTGATGGTGAAGAGGGAGGGGCTAGGAAAACCACTAAACATATATTTTGCCTTAAGTGTTGATAGGGGAGATCTGGGTGATAATAAGTACTTATTGTTTTGTTTGACCCCTCCTTGGTCATGAAATACAAATGCAGACTTGAAGAAAAAAGAAATTAGGCTGAGACTGTATTCAGATAGCAAATGCATGCTAGAAAAAATAAAGCCAAGTTGAGGACCAGCCCAAAAGCCAGAAAGCCTTCCTGGGTCTATGCGATTGCGATTATTCTACCTCGAGCCCAAAGGCATCACAGTTAAAATGTCCCCTCATTGTGTTCTCCTCCCAGCGTTGACTAGTTTTGATATACTGGCGACTGTAAGCATGCTTTCCCTCCAAAGAAGAAAATAGGCACTGGTGGCTATTCCACTTATAATATTCGCAGCCCAACTGATTTCCTTCGGTGAAAGTACTACACACACACACGCACGTGTGTGAATACCACCCTCAGAATTTAGATGTGGGGCTCATTTTATGGCAGTATACAAAAGCTGGAGTGAAATAAATCGAAGATTTCCAAGCTTACAGTTGGAAAAAACTCGTAAAAACAATTCCAATAAAGAGTGCATCCACCTTCCCTCACAGTCACTGAGAAGCCCTGTTGGGGGAATTGGGTGGGGGACAAAAAAAGCCCCAAAACAACAAAGTCTCTGGTTTGGGATAGTTGGGGTTTGAGGACTTTTAGGCGATTCCTCTGTTTATGGACACCTGCTTCCCGTGGACTACGTCTAGATCTAGCAGTATTAGGATTTGAAGGATCAATATAGTCAATGATAGCTTTTTTGTGATCTTCCAGGAGATCTAGCAAGGGACATTTGAGAGAGAGAATTTAAAAGCAAGAGAAAACCCTGGAGCCTTAGGCTGTTAGCCACGTGGTATTTACAAGCAGGTTATTTTTTGGGTGTTTTTTTTTTCGTTAACGTTGCTTTTGTTGTTTACTCTGACATTTTTTGTTGCTTCCTCAACTCCACGGGCCCTGAAGACCTTTGGAAATAGGACCCAAAGGGTCAGTCTAATCTCTATTCCCAGGTATTTTAAAGTTCAAAATAAGGTATCCCACTACATCTATCCAAGTGAATCACAACCTAGCAGATCTGCTCTCTTGCCCACTATGCATAGCTGTCATGCATAGGAAAAGGACCCAAGAGGTCACTCTAGCCTCCATCCACAATATTTTAAGGTTCAAAACAAGTGATCCCAGCACATCTATCCAAGTGAATCACAACCTTCCAAAACCTGTTCTCCTGCCCCTGTATATGACAGACAGTTACTTCTGGGAAATGCAAGCTTCAGCTGGTGCATTTCAATCAGGTTCTAATTTCTGAAATTTTATTTTATTTTGGCAAAGATCTGGGAGCAGGATAACAGCCAGAAAAGCTGGCTGTCACAGAACAGATATTTTTTTTTAAATGTGTCTGATTTTCTGGGTGGTATAATTAAATGCTTTCTATCCCTATACCTTTTTCCTTCTTTCTTCTCCCTCCTCCCAAAGGGCAAATAGTGGGAAATGGAAATGGTAAATATTACCCATACCATGAACTATTAAGGAGTGACTTCCACAGAGGGGAAAATTTTTCAAAAAATATATTTGAGCCAATAAAAGTAGTTCTCTTGTTTAAATGACATTGGATTAACATCCTTCCTTTTAGCTTAGCTTTTGCAGGGGCATAGCAATATTGATGTCCTTAATATATTGAATACACACATCTAAAGGTCCAATTTATTTTCCCCCTTCGGTGCAAAAACTCCACATGGCTATCCTAAAAGTTGAGCCAAAGTGAAATCCTTCTTTTAAAATCTGCTTTGCCTTCTAGGCTTGTAGAGAATTTTAAAAAGAGGAATCAGTGCAATTAAACATATATATAAGTTTTCACTTATCTCCTCAGAATCAAGCCAACCAAAAAGAGGGAGGAGAAGATGGCGGAGAGGTAGTGAAAGATGAGGGTGAAGGGGGCAGTCTCTAGTAGAATCAAGATGAAGTGATGAAATGGGGAAGATTTAGCATGATCTTTGCTGGGGAAAGTATATCAGGGGTAAAAAGGAAAAGATTTGGTTTATGAGATTCATTTTGAGTCTGGGAATATTTTATAAGATGCTGCTTTGTCATGGAATCCAGACATCTATTTTTCTGGACATAATACCCTTCACTAGCAGGCCAATGGGCTGTGCCCATTAGTCATTCAAGGGGCAGGAGGCTCTGTGGGATTTGTACACAATGAATGAGAGGCTGGTAGCCATGAGCAGCATTATGATTTAGGGGTACCTCATCTTTGACTTCTATTCAAATGGTGGGGGAAAAGACACATAGGCAGAAGAGAAAAAGAATCGTCAATATTTTCCATTCTGCAAAGTTAATTGTGGGCCCCAGAACAAAGTATGGTTTAAAGGTCCGTTATATGAAATAACATGCCAGCACTCTCCTTGCATGGTTGGGATTTCCCAACATGTTAGAAGATACCAATTTAAGCGAAGAAAAGAAAGAAATTGTTGTTCCAACGGGAACAACTCAGAAAATACTGCTCTGAATACCCAATCTTAATTTCCTTCCCTCTCTCATTTAAATGTATATATGTGTGTGTGCATACATATATGCACACACACATATACACATATATACACATAGGCATATATATGCACCAGATCTACATATGTGTGTATGTGAATATGTATGTATATACATATATGTATATATGTATACAGTAACATTAGTTCTTTAAGTAGGCCCTTACAAATCATCCTTGTACCTTTTTACCAGCTGGTAAGAAAGGCATTTTCAGTGGATACTTTGTCTCAATTGTTTCTCCCAAACAATCCCATCTAGTTCCCTGTGTCAATTGGGGCCGGGTTGTAATTCACAGCTGAGGCTTCAGCTTAAAGGAATATAGCTTTAAAGTAACATACATAGCAACTATCAAGTTCTTCAGCAATTCTTATGTTCCAACAAATGAAATCAGGAGTAAGAGAGTGCCACCACCAAGTATCAATGAGCCCAAGCTCTGGGAGGGGTCAAGAACAAATTAACAAAGGGTGTCACTGGTACAAGGAAAGAGAGAGGAATTACCAAAACATTTCAGACATTCTGATGAGTACCAAAGGGCCCTTGTTCTGCCACATTTAAATGAGAACCTGACAAGACCACAAATGACAATAGGAAGTAAATAATTAATGATTACTCTTTATAAAAAAAAAGTTATGGGTGTTATTTTTTTTAAGAGCCTTGCATTGAATTGTCAGTTTAAAATTTAAGTTGCCTTGTAGACCCTTAATAATAGTAGCATTTCAAGAGGCAAGAGCAGCTATCGCTCAGGAGAGGACCCTCATGGATGTCGGCAGCCCAAGGCCTATTACCGCGAGTGACGTGATGTGTCCATGCACTCATGCTGAAGGCCGCAAACAGAAATGAGATTCTAGGGTGTCTACATTTTCATCTAACGCACTGGCTGGATGCGCTGCAGAGGAATACAGCTGAGGTTCAAGTACACTCACACTCCCAGCTATCACCCGGAAAGGATGCTCCACACATTCAAATGCAATCCCATGGAATTCCGGATGGAATGGCCAAAAAAGTATTCAAATGTAGAAGTAGACAACTATAAGATTGTCAGCAAGCAGTGCTCCAGGAATTGTTTCTAACTTGTGTTAAGTTTTACATCTTTGGAATAAAATTAATTTTTTTTTCTTAGAAAATACCCTCCGACTAAGGTTTATATCATTGCCTCCAGCAGATGGGTAGAATTTCTGTGTGTGTGTGTTGATTTTTTTTCTCTGTTGTTGAGTTTTTGTTTTGGTCCACGTCTCAAAAGAAATTCTCTGGGCCAGACCTCAAAATCCCTCCCCCCACCCCCCAAATGTCCAAATGGCAAGCCCACAGCATTTGGCTAAAGAGGCTCATTTACTCACAGTGGAGGCATTTCAACATCTCAACGAAATCCAAAGATCTTAATGACTACTTGTGTTGTTTATGTTTAATTATTATTATTATTGTTATTATTATTTTAAAGAGAGTTCAGTTTTGCATCCCAAATATGTCTGGGGTGGCATTTTAACAGTCAATGAGTCAAAACAGTCAAAAGGAGGGCAGGAGGGTAGCCGGCTGGTATGAAGGAACAGCGACCATTGGTGGACCAAATGACATTTTTGTTTTCTAGATGTGTCTTGAAGGGATGGTCCGAGAATATACAAAATATACAACCTGTCCTAGTGACCACCCCACCTGCTTGCATAGGCCATTTAATGGCCCTAAAGGCAGTCTTTGGAGTTGAGGCCAGTGCCAACTAGCTAGAGATACAGGTATATATAGATATCAATTTCTACGTGTGTGATGAAAAAGTGAGGAATCTAAACCTCCTTTGAGCTCCAAAGGTCAAATTTAGCAATGGGCAGGATTTAGCTTGGAGAATAATTTAGGGGCCTCTGCTAGTACTGGATGCTCTAAGTCCCAGGTCATGCTGGGCCCACTGCCTGAAATGAGCAATACTTCTCTCCCTTAGACAGAAAAACCTCAACACTTCGCATAAACGCCAGCCCTTCATTCCCACAATGGACTCTTAAAGTGTATTTTTCCCCCTTTTAACAAGCAGGATAATGTGAGCTCAGTCGAAATGAGAAAGAAGGATTGACTGATGCTGTGTGAAGGCTCTGGACTTGGGAGGCATCCTCATTTTCCCTCCACTCCTGGACGGAGGGGTATTTTTGGCTTTTTTTTTTGTCAGGTCATAACCCAAAGTTAGGTTAAAGACACAGATGCCTGTTGAGGCTAGAGACATCTATGCTGTAACTGGTTAGTAGGGTCGCAATAATAACACACAACACAATTTGTTGATCACCATGGGCTGAGGCCAGCACGCCCCCAAGGAGGATATAAGAAGTGTGATGTCACATCTGATTGGCCACTTCGAGATTCGGGCATCCAGGTGACGAGATAGTTCTAGAGGTTTTAGTCCATGGAGAAAAGATAAAACATTTAAGCTTCCAAATAAGCTTTTCAAGTTTTCATTAGCAAAATCAGAGAGATTAAAAAGAAAAAATCTAGCTATGGCAATAAGGTGAGGCCAAAGGTATACACTGTGATTTTTTTTTCAAGGGTTTTATTCTCTTGGCCACTTTGTAGTCATGCTAGAAGTTTCCAGAATCCCTAGTGCATATGGTGTGCAAAAAGTAAGAAAAGAAAATTCCTCCTTCACGAAGTCTACACGAATGCAGGCCAGAAAGTGTGAGATGTCATTCCACAGTCTACTGCCGTTAAGGCCATTGGTACGGACTTGAAAAGATCTCAATAGCTCAGTCCTGTGAAGAACCAAAACAGATCAAAAGGTCTGTGAGGAAGTCTGACGCTTTGAATATTGGGATTTTTCTGACACAAAGGACAAATGAACCAAGAGGTTAATTTTGGCTACCAAACTGGGATTTGGTTTTCTAGGTCATTTTTTCCCCCAACCACTTAAAAAGAAGACAAGTTAGTGCTACAAGTATGCAACTTTAAGATGATGTATTCTCCTATCAAGTTGCATTGAGAAGCAAGTTAAATAAGTCCCTCTTACTGCTGCCGTCCACCTGCAGAGAAGTCACATCCATTTTCTTTTAATTCCATTGCCAACAGCAGGATGCAATTCTGAGAGCGCTGAAGTAGGCAGCCTTTCTGCCTTGCTGTGAGTTCACCCGGATTCTTCATCATCTTCTACCATCTGGCTAGGGCAAGGCATAAAGGACAGACGTAGATATCTTGAGTATGGTTGAGTGCATGACTGCGTGTGCGTGTGTGTGTGTGTGTGTATGCGCACACGCACACGTGTGTACACAGAGATTTATATCTGAGAACTCTCTCTCTCTCTTTTTCTCTTCTGCAAGGCAGCAAAGTTCTGACCAAATTCCAGCCCCCTGTCTAAAGATTCTTCCTTTAGACAATAGCCGGTGCCATGGAGCTCCTCTGGTCATTAGTTATTTAGATATGTCTCTTCATGTGGAGGGCAAGGTGGTCAGACCTGGAAAAACACCTAAGAAAATAAGAAACAACACAAAATGAGTGTGCTGTGTGAAAGTGGAGGCCTCCTTCTATCCAGAAGACAAGGATCATTCTCATCTAACAGTAAATAATCTGTGTGTATCATTTACTGGTGAGACCCCAACGTTATAGAACTATGGCCCTAGGATCTCTGATTTGGTTCCATAAAGAATTTTGGAGATCACCAAGAATCAGTAGTAGCAATAATTCTGATGATAATAATAGCTAACATTGATACAGCATTTTAAGACTCACAATACTCCTTTTGCATATATCATCACAATGGATCCTCATAACATCTTTGTGAGGTACGTCTTATTATTACCCCTTAAATCACTTGCCCAGGGTCACATAGAAAATAGGATTTGAGAAGATGTTCCAGACTCCAAGGCCAGTACTCTATCTACTCTCTAACTGCTTTTACAAATGATGGGATTGAGGCCCAGAAAGTTTAGATGATTTGCCCGAAGTGGTACATGTAAGAGCGAGGATACAAACTTAGGTCCTCTTTCTACTACACCAAGACTCCATCATTTTATTTGACTTTGAAAATGTACTTCAAATACATTAAATTTTTGTTTTTGTTTTTTGTTTTAATTTTTTATTTAATTTAATTCATGAAATAAATAAAAATTTAGAAAAAAATTTCCAAAAATTCAATTTTTGAAAATATATTTCAAATACATTCAATTTTTTTTTCAAATAATTCATCCCTCTAACACCACAGGCACTATAAACACAGAATCCACCAGTGGTACCTAAAAAGCCACAGAATATATCCCTGATTATTACCACTCTGATTAACTGTAAAGTAAGCTCTTTTTGCCTCTTTTTCTGCAATTTGTAGTCAGGGGCTGAAGAGTTTCACCAGAATCAGGCTGTTAGAATGAAAGCTGTCACAATGCCTGGCATGAGTAGTTTCCTATTCTCTCATTTGGCCTCCTTTTTGAAAAGGACTCAAGCTTGATAGCTTTCCAGCTTTTGAGAACACTCCCCAAGGCTTTTCTTATCCTGAAGAAGCCCCCCATAGCCAGAAGCACTTAAAAATATATTAACAAGTTATTTACAAATTTTCTCTTTGGGCCGGGGCTTCTCTCCATTTATGCATACACTCACATTCCTCACATTCTTTCTCTGGTCATACATGCAATCACGAAAACATGTAGAAATTAAAGCACAACCATATCCTATAGATAGCAGATATAGATTAATAGCTATATTAACTCTTAAACCTACTTGTCAGTGCAGGTAAGTTTTTAGATAGAGATTTCTTCTTTAATTGAGAAACCGGGGGTTAGTGAGAAAAAAAAAAAGTATATCTCCCTCCAGGAGACCACAATGAAATGAAAGTGTGCAAAATCATGGTAGACTAAGAATATCTTTAAGCTAGTCTCCTGGCACCTGGCAGGGAATTCTCTTAGTATCTACTCTAGGCCAACAGCACATGTCTTATTCCTAAATAGATACAAAGCTGGCAATAACCAGTAAAAATAATGACCATCAGATCCTGGATTTTGAGTTGAAAGGGACATTAAAGATCTCATTAAGCCCAATTCCCTCATTTTGCAGAGACCCCAGAGAGATTATATAATTTATCTAAGGTCACAGCCATGATAAGTGGCATACCCCAAATCAAGTACTCTTCCCAATGTCCTATGCTGTCTCTCCAAATATAGACAAATAATAATAGTAATAACAAATTGACTATAAGGGATCATAAATTGAGTATACATCAAAACCTGTGAAAAACATTTCCCTATAACATCTCTATAAAACTAAGATTCACATGTCCCAAGCCAATATCTGTCACTATTTCAAGCAACAGTTGAATAAATTCCCTACTAAAGTCCTATTCTAATGACCCATCACTGGATGATCAAAGGGCTAAGCCAGCCCCAGTAGGTTCTACTATGCTAGAAGGACTTGGAGTACAAGCCCTGTCCATAGACTGTCAGTCAATCAAAGGACTAGCTCTGGGAGCTACATCTCTAGGTGATGTTTTTGACTGTGGTAAACTCTTGAAGACTGGAGGGACTGAGACTGGCATTAATAGAAGGAATAACCATATTGATGGAATCACAGATTTGAAGAACAGAAGTAACAGCTAAACCAAAGAATTTGGACAACCCTCTTAGAGTTACTGATGAGGATATTTGACCTACTTACAAGTTAGCAGAGTAGTATCTCTTTCTAAGTGAGCATGATACTAAGGTGCATAAAAAGCAGTATAGAATGGTAAGAGTATCATGTCATGAGCAGCAGCACAGTCTCCGGGCCTGGAGTTAAGAAGATCTGAGTTCAAATCCGGCTTCAGATACTTACTAGTTGTGTGACCCTGGGCAAGTCATTTAACCCCTATATGCCTCAGCTCCTTATTTGTAAAATGGGGACACACTGGAAAAGTAAATGTCAAGCCACTCTAGTAGCTTTGCCAAGAAAACCTGAAATGGTATCACAAACAGTTGGGCACAACTGAATGACAATCACTATGTCACTATGTGTAGATCTTAAAGGTCCAGGTCTCTGCATATATTGCTGCTGATTTGGTCATGATAGGTCAGGGTTCAGCAGCTAGGTATTGCTTTGCAGCCCACCCACTTCCTCATTTTGTTCCTTGCTTTATTTCTTCCTCCCATCATCCTTGAAAAAGGGAGTCCTACCCTAAAAGGTGTTAAAAATCACATATCATCTTTCAGGTTGAAAGTAGAAGGAAGATGATAGGTTTCCAGGGGTCAGAAATCTGCGGCCTCAAGACCGTCCACGGCCTTCTAGGTCCTTGGGTGCGGCCACTTGACTGAGTCCAAGTTCTACAGAACAAATCCTTTTAATAGAAGGGATTTGTCCTGCGAAGTTTGGATTCAAAGGACTGCATCTGAGAACCCAGAGGGCCACATGTGACCTCAAGGCTGCAGGTTCCCCAGGCCTGGAAGCCGATGGCTAGATTCCAGGAACAAAACTCTGAATAAGGAACATCCTGTAGACCAAAATGAGGAGCTGGGGGCAAAGGGGAGCGGTCAAGAAGCATATAAGAAGAACTAAGACAGGGGAGTAAAAGAAGGGGTTTTAGTGGATTATTTTCATTAATATTAAAGTCGAGGCCTGTCAGGAAAAGACCACAAAAGGTAGAAAGATGTAGGAAGTAAGAATCCAGTAGTTCTAGCAGTGGGCAAAAATTTTCTCAGGGGCAGCTAGGTGGCACAGTGGATGGAGCCCCGGCCCTTGAGTCAAGAGGACCTGAGTTCAAATCCGGCCTCAGACCAAATGCTTGACACTTACTTAGCTATGTGACCCTGGGCGAGTCACTTAACCCTAATTGCCTAAAAAAATAAAAATAAATAAAAATATAAAAAAAAACTTTTCTTCAACTGTGCAACAGAAACCAATTGGGAAATAAGATTCAATATACAGAAGTTTGCTTTAACATTTACTTTTCAGAAACATGTCTACTTTTCATCGTTAGCAATTCATTCAATGAGAATATATTGAATGTGCCTAACACTGTGTATTGAGATATCTCTATACAAAAACTGTGTGCTAAGAACACGGGAAGCTCCTGTGAAAAAAATAAAGCAAGGAAAATCAAACCAAAAAAAAAAAGTCTAAAGCAATGGTCGTAGCTTTAATGAAACATCTAATTTGTTGTCCAGAGCTATTTATCACTGTTACTTATTCAAATTATAAGCACTATACAAGAAGGGTTAGATGGGCCCCTACCTATTGAACTTAGTATTCAATAGAACATTAGTATACTTAACCGTTATTAACTAGGATTATGTCAATGAAATGGATGGTCCCAGGCCCTGTCTCTATCCCCATTCCTGCTTACTGAACACAGATGAAATCACAGCTCCAGACCAAAAAAGAACCTGATTAGGAGTAATACGTGACATTGGGCAAGTCTGGAATCCAGAAGCACAAAATCCAATCACACAAAGAAGGGGAGAAATGTATACAGCTGCCAGAAGACTGAGTAGGGAGATAGGTGCTAAAGTACTGCTTTTAACCTATAATAGCTGTGTGAGCTTGGACAAGTCACTGATTTTCTCTGAGTCTCACTTTTGTCATCTGTAAAATGAAGGTGAAAATCCTTGAGCTGCTGCCTACTTCATGGGGACATTAGAAAGGAAAGTGCTTTGTAAACTTAAAAAATGCTACATAAGTGTGAGCTATTTGTTAATAATGATAATATAGTATAATTATAACATATATTATATATGCAATGTATAATTATATGATGTATAATTCTAACACAATTGTATACTATATAACATTTTATATGTGAATATAAAAAGTATTATATATGCATATATGTATATGTATATGTGCATATATACACACACATATATACATACATGTATATATACATGCGAGCGCACACACATATATATACACATACACATACACACACACATTTGGCTACAGTCAAACTCTGAAATTGTCATTGTTCTTCATTTGGAAAGGGAAATGGGGCAGGGGAAAGGGAGGCGCATAGTTATGAAAGGCATATGGCTGCCAAAACAAATAGCCATCTTAGTGAGCACCAAAGGGACATCAAGCAGCTGGCATTTCTACCTAACACTAGGTTGGGCTGAGAACTCCAAAGGTCTACTTCTTTCCTCCCAATGCCCTGATCACTTCTTGCACCCACTCTGCCAGAAGCAATCTTGCTGGACTCTTGCATGCCTGCTGAGTCAGTGGTACAGTAACACTGGCTATTAGTGCTAATGGGAACAAAGCACTGTTTCCTATCAGCAGCGTCATGCTATGTGAGAGCATTTCTGTAAACAAAGAAGCCTGGTACCTCCCTCTAGCTCTTCCCTCTTGCAGCTGGTGAGAGTGGGAAACATCCCCATCAAACAGTGAGGGGGTTATCAGTTAGAGGCCCAAGAAAACAGCATGGCCTTCCTCCACCAGGCCACAGCAAAGTCAGAGAATGCTAAGAGGTCAATGAGACATCAGAGATGATCAAATCCATCCTCACACATGGCAGTCGAGATACCACCACCACATGCACACTTTTTGCCAAAGAAAACCTCAATCCTAGCTAGTAACTCAATAGGATGGCATTGCGAAACTGAATACCAGATTAAAAACAAGAGAAGGCTTAGATCCCCATTCATTCACACTCTGGTAAGACCGCTGCACTGCGCTGGTATGGGGCATTATGACTGTCTGATAGGTGAGACTCACTGCGGGAGGTAATCATCCACTTGCCAAGGGCTTTTCTCTCCCACATCTTTGTGCCATGTCAGCTTTCTCTCTGGTTCCCCATGCCACATCCCAAGTAAATGCTATTCTTAGCACATAAATGCTGATTGAAAAGGAAGGCGGCTTGCCAATTCAAACTAACCCTGGCATTTGCATGTCCTGAAGCCTCAGCACAAACCTCAACCCCTGGATTCAAGGGTACCTATTGTTTGGCTGTGTCACAGTTACTTTTCTAGTTGGAAATTTGATCGATTTATCCTTTTCCAAAACATCAAGAGAAAAGCAATTCTCATCATCCAACCAGTTAGCTGCAAATTTCCAGGTCCAGAAACTAAAATATTTTAATATCAAAGGCACAAAATACAAGGGACTACCAATATATCCATCTTCCTCTCCCCTTCCACAAACATGATTACAATGGTTTGATCCATCTTTCCTCAATGTATGAATGGATGCATTAGATTCTGACACATTTGTCACCAGAAAGTTGTAAATTCCCCAATATGTCAGGTGATGGGAATTAGAAATATTGCATATAGCGAAGATCCAAAAATGCTTCCTTCTCTTCCAAGTAGCACATCAACCGATGTGGCCATGCCCACACTATCTCTAATTTAGAGTTGGCACTACTCTTCAGAAGTAGACAGCTTTCTATCGGGACTTGACTACCCCCTAACTAAAAATGTCTGAAAGTTCCCAAAGAATTTCTCTTCCTAGGGCACATAAGAAGTTTGTATGACATATACAGAGGCGCCTAAAGATTCCAGTCCCCCTACAAGGAACACTTCAGTTAACCAAGGGGGAAGATTTAGATTGTCTAGAGATGGGAATGAGAGATATTAGACAGGAGGATATAATGAGCCCAAAGTACCCTCAGTACGAAGGCAGCACTTGGCTGATATCAAGTTTGGGAGCAATGCATATAAGGGGAAAAGAGAACCCCTCCTAATGTAAGAAGGGCAAACTCTTAGGGAATGAACAATAACAGCTTTAGCTATTATACTTCCTTATGTCCTGGTGTGGGGAGTTTGTTTCTTTGGCTTTAGAAGGCGTGGTTTTTAGCTCATTCTTAAAGAGTGATGATAACATAGCAAATAGCCTCTTTTAGAAGGAGAAGAAAGGGGGGTGGGGAGGGAAGGAGCTGCCGGAAACAAACATGAATTCTTTTTTTATAAATATCTAGAGAATGAGGAAAAGGTCTCTCCTCTTGCCACAGACCTGGCTTATCCTGTGTTTCGTTTGAAACAAACAAAAACTAATACAGGGATAACAGGCAGAGAGGAAGCCCTGGTGAAAGGAGACCGGAGTGGGACATCAGGGCTCGGGAAGACAGGATGCGAAACTGATCGCATTTCCTTCCTTATGAAAGCTGGGCCTTTGTTTACATCCTGTCCACCCCCTCCTGCCATTCTGCATGCTCTCAGCCAACTCAGAGAGCCCAGAGGCTTTCAGTTAGCCTTTATTGTATTATAAGCATTTTTCTTATCACAACCGAGACCCTTAGTATTGCATTAAAAAGACAGTTAATTTTCTTAAGCTTCTTTTTTAATACAGAAATAGGATTAGAAGGATAACACGCTCAGATGCAAGCACGTTATTTGATTATGTCTAAACCTAATCCTGGCTTCACCTTGGTCTGCACAGTCTCCAGTTTGGGGGTTTTATTGGTTGATAATGTCAGCGCTGTCAGATATTATTACTTGGGCAGTGTCTGCTGTTACTCGTCCTTTCCTCCACTCCAAATTCTAAAGACTTGAAATTAAATTTTAGGATAATTCTTTGAAACCTCTCCATCTTGCAACTCTTGGACCTTTCTCTCTTATATCATAAGATCAATAGATCTAGAGCCAGAAGGGACCTCAGACACCAGCTAATACAATCCCTAGATGAGGAAACTGAGACTCGGGACTTGCCTGGTCACTTAGGTAGTTTATCCAAGGTGGGATTTGAACCCTGGTCCTCTGACTCCAAAGCCTCTGACTGTTTTTCCTGAAAGAACAGGAATAACCTCAGAAAACATAGACCCGACTTCACAAGAGGCAGGAAAACAGAGCAGGAATCTGAAGTCCCACTTATTCTGGCTTCAAGGTCTAGTTGAAGTTTTAACTCTTTCACTGATACCAGATGTGTTCCCTTCCTCTTTGAGTTTTCATAGTCCCATGTGTCACAAAAGTCTTAATGCCATTTCAAGCTATTCAAGCTTAAAACATCACAAAGACTTTGGGATCTCCTTTACTTTGTTTGCATTTCTGTTGTGTATTTTCACACTGTACTTTGTGTTAAACATTTTTGAGTGCTTGGCTCACTAGAAACTTCCGAACTGCAAGCTTGTTGAGATCTGATTCCCTGTCCTATTCATCAGGTTTAAACTCTTAGTTCCTAACACTGCCTTCCATGGAACAGGCCCTCAATAAGAGCTCATTAAATCAAATTTTGGATTTCTTTCTTCTGCATCCCCAGAGCCTATATAGTAGGTGCTTAATAAATATTTACTGAGGAGAATTATTAAGGAGTTGCTTTTAAAGCAAATCATTTTGTATTTATAATTTATCTCTAAGAAAAAGAATATAAGATTATAAGAATCTCATGACTAAGAGAAAGAAGAGAGAGGAGGGAGCGGTATATCAAACCAAAGACTTGTTTCCTTCTCTTCCTTAGCATAAGACAGAGTGACTAGGGAACTCATAGCTGGCAGAGTAAAATTAAAATCCCAAACGATGCTTTTAGTTTTCCTATCTAAAACCTCCTTGGGAGAGCACCTCTATGGTCCCAATTCTCTTAATGGAAAAGCCAAAGATAAACATGCTTTGGAAAAGACTTGTGTTCACTCCTCCAGGCTGATCAAACCGCACTCTTCTCCCCTCTATCAGCTCCCCAAATCATCTCATAAACCACTTTACCTGTCGCAGTGGTTGCATTTAAAGGGCTTTGCACCCGTGTGTTTCCTGTAGTGCCTCGTAAGCTCGTCACTTCGTGCAAAACGCCACTCACACCCTTCCCATGAACACTTATAAGGCTTCTCACCTGCAGGAAGAGATGAAATGAGGCCTGTTAGTAAATGACAGCATACCTGCTCCATCACACTTCACTACCTCAATAGTCAACATCTTGGAAAGAGCTACGTTTAAGGGTAAAACTCCCTGGCCGCACAGGTGGCAAAAATTGAGAGATTAAAATGGACCTCAATAGTGTTCTTACAAGGTCCCTGCATCTGGAAATCCTATTTTGGTTCCCAGAGTTAGGGCATTTCCTTCAACTTGTAAAGCAGTCATTTCTTATCCCAGGAGGATGCTCACCCCCACTGCCTGAGCAGGAAGGAAATGTGCTATTTTCATTAGAACCACAAATGCTTCTAATTCTATTTTCCACCAGAACCTACGGTAATTCGCCATTTCTGGCTTCTTGGTCTCCCCCTCCTCCTCTCTCTTTTCCCTATCACCACAAACTGTAGGCTTGTGGCTGATTTATAAGGACATCAACTCACGACTCCAAGAGTGACTGTTCCTTCCAGTAAATGCAGGTGAATAAATAGGCAAGAGAAAGAACCACAGTCTTAGGGAGGAGAAGGCAAATAAAATATGTGAAAGGTCTCAGGCATCCGTATTATCTTCAGCCATAAAAACCCTGCTTAGCAAAGCTGAGAACTGGATTCTAAGCTGTGACGCATACTGCTAACAGGGCTTTCAAGCCAATTTGTGAGGCATGTTTTAGCCAGAATGAAGCTCTTACATCAGTAAGTTTGAAATTATAGCATTTAGGATTCCCTGAAGGACCTTTCCATATAGCAACTACAGACCTAGAAACACAGTACAAGGGAGAAGAAGATTTTTCTTTAAAGTCTTCTTACCCATCATGTCCACCCCTAAACGTGACACACATTTGTACTTTTCACCCTATGGAAGGACAGTGACAGGAAAAATTCCTATAAGATAACATTTGTAGGCATTGATTTCCTACTAATAATAGGTGACATTTATACAACACTCTAAGGCTTTCATAGAGTTTTATATTCCTTATCACATTTGAACCTAACAACAACCAGATGAGGTGGTTATTACAAGCATTTTCACTGTCTTTCTCACCCCTGTCTCCCATCATGGGGTGATGGAGATCTATTATTTCACCAATATATCAAATTTATGGTATGGAAACTCTCTCTACTGATGCAGAATATCAACTCATTTTATAATTTTATAATTCCTCCATTAGATTATGTGCTTTTTGAAGTCAGGGGATGTCTTTTGCCCCTTTTTGTATTTCCAGTGTTTACCTTACTACAGTATGCATTTAATGAATATTTATTGATTGAAAATCCGAGAGTTACCTAGAGACACTTCAGGGGTTAAGTGATCTGTCCAGGGTCACACAGCTAGCACGCATCAAAAACAACTCGAATCTAGGTTTTCCTGATTCCAAAGCTAGCCCTTTATCCATTATATCACATTGCTTCTCATCATACAGCTAAAGAAACTCAGAGTCAGAGAATTTCAGTAACATGTCCAGAGTCATTCATATAACTTGTAATAATTAGAGGTAGGATTAAAACCTAGGTTTGTTTTTTTTTACTCCAAAGCCAACACTCTTAAAATATTAAATCTTAGGAATTCAGAAGATTTAGAGGACAAATGATTATTACTATTGAGATCCAGTTGGTTGTCCCATTATTTCTACTTTGACAGGCTAAACCTGCCCTTCACTTTGAAACATTAGGAGACATTCACTGTCCAGGCACACCACTTGATCCACTTTCTTCTTCCTATTTTCTCCCTCCTCTTCAAAATGTGATTATGAAAGAGATAGTCCTTTTTCAGTCTACACTAAAACTACATCTTAATAAATGTTTTTTTTCTTCATACGTCACTGTGAGCAAAAATCCCAAAACAGGTATTTTCTTTTAAACAGTCTAAAAGCCTGTGAATGAGGTTTAGAGGTATAGGGGAAACCAGGAATCAGGATAAAAATCAGAGGAAAAAATATTTCACTGATTACTATCATGAGAATTTGGAGACCAGTCATAATTTCAGAAAAGATACAATAGTGCAGTATAACCAACATTTTATAAGCGCTTCACCTATACCTTGGCATTCTGCTAGTGGAAACACAATATTTAAATAGACCAGGTTATGTGGCCTCATGTAGCTGATAGTCTCCTGGGGAGATAAACCACTAACACAGATAGCTGTCTCCTTTGTCCTTTTATGAACTGCTAAATAAACAAATGCCAGGTAAAAGGGAAGCATCAGGCCTCTCCCGTCCTGCCTCAGTTATTGTTGAATAGTTTTTTGTTGTTGTTGTTGTTGTGAGCCCTTTTGGGGTTTTCTTGGCAAAGAAAACCAGATCATTTTACAGGTGAGGAAACTGAGGCAAACAGGGTTAAGTGACTTGCCCAGTGTGGCACAACAGCAGCAATCCCAGGTAAAATGCAAACATTGTGCGTTTCTTTTCCTATCTCACTATCTACCCCCTCAATCTGTTCAAGTGATATTTAGACTCAGGCCACCCAAGAAAACTTTTATGGTTCTATGTGATAAGATACAACCAAGTCTGGCCTTCTGCTAACTTTGTTCCCAGGAAATGCAAGGTTTCTGTAAGGTTTCTGCATTTGCTGCTAGTGTATTGAAAGGAAAGCTATAGGAGAACCAAATTCTCTTTGGGCTTACACTTATGGAACTGAATGCTTGAGGGGGAATAAGTAAAAACTCCATCCAAGACAGGAGAGAGAAGGGAGGAAAGGGCTTTATCTTGGCAGCCCCTGACTTTTACCAATGTTATTGATCATCAGAGAGATTTCAAAATAGAAAACTGGCTCCAAACAGAGAGAGGACACCATTGGACTTCAGAAAATTCAAAATGCCTCTGTACTCCCAAAGACCTTTAAAAGCAAATAAAAAACTCTCAAAGCCTCTAGGACCAAATAAAATTCAAAACCCAGCAATAAGGCATAGAGGAAATCCCATGAAAGACTGTAGTAGTTAACACAGAAAACTAGGTCCCAGAAATCAATTCATCTATCTAGCTGACTGGCCTAGCACAGGCTAACTGTGTTCTGAAGGACAAAAGAAGGGGAAGGGGAAAAGGGTTGAGGGAGAAGGAAAGCTGAGGAAGTTATTCTTTAATTCAAAGTAAATATTTCCCTCCCCACTCCCTGTAGCTAGATTTGGTTATTTATTAAATAAGTTTTTTCCTTGATGCACAGTGAAACTTGCCAGTGCTCTCATGGCAGATAATATATGCACTGAGTTACTTACCCAGCAGGGATCCCCCACCCACATTTCCAGGTCTCTCTGGGCTGTTCTAATATATACTGTCTCAGAGTACTACTATTCCAACTTCTAGCTATGCAGCAACTTCAGGCACCCCGATTATTTATGAATGTTATCATTTTATAAGCTTTAACTGCTCTCAGTGTGGAAGGTGCTGTCTAGAATGTTTAAGCATGGCCCCTCTGGGCCTCGATGGTATCTAGCCTCATTACATCTTACAGTTTCATAAAGATGTCTTCCTCATCCCTCTAATTGGTTTGCTCATACCATGTCATGTCTGATAGTAAATATCGAAGTGAAATGAAAACAGCAGAAAACCAGAGATTCTCATCCAAACAAGAGGGGTTTGTGTACTGCAATCAACCTTGTCCCAAATCATACTGGCGCTAGACATCAGGAATCCAAAGAAATACAGGATTGCCTTGGTTAAATTAGTGGGAAAAAAAGGCCCACAGACAGCGATGGGGAAGGGCAAGAGAAAGTGCTTTCAGAATTCTCTATCCGCTTTCTAGCCACCAATAACTACCCAAGAGTGGAATCTTCTGTCAATGTGTTTAAGGTCATACCTGTGGTTCACCAAATAATTGCATGGTTGACCTGAAAAGAAAAGCCCTCCATGTATTTGTTTTCATCCTGGAGTTTTTGTTTGTTATTTTAGTAAAATGCTTATTTTGCAAGAGGCTATGTCCCTTCCCCCCAAGAAACCAGGCAGTTGGATCACAGCTAAAACAGACTCTATGCATAATCAGAGCAGCCTCATGAGTCTTGAACCTGGAGGCAGAAAATCTGGGTTCAAGACCAGATTCTTCCATGGGAGCTCTGAATCTATTTCCTTATTTGTAAAATAGGAATAATAATCCTTGTTCCACCAATTCTTTAATTCTCTTCTCTCAGAATTTTTGTCAAGAAAACACTTCACAAACTAAATAAACAGGTGTGCGTTTGATCTATTATCATGGTACAAAGGCAACAATGACCATCGGAACAACTTCCTTCAATGCCCTTATCTCCTATTGTCCCACCATTCTGTTTCCTCTCTACTGAGAAGGTTATCCTCCAGGATAATGCATTTGAAACTACAGTTGGGATATATCTGGAATAACACAGACTTAATCATTGCAATTTTAGGCAAGTCCATTTCCTTATCTCTAAAATGGTGTGTTTAGACTCAAAAGAGATATCTGGAAAGTTCTATGATTGATTCCAGTTCCAAATTACTGTGATGACATAGTCTTCTCCCCTCAAGAGATTTTGCAAGCTAGAAAAGGCCCATTGAAAAGGACAATTAAATTCACCAAGAGAGATCTACTTGTATGAAAAAAAAAAGTGATAGAGGAGATAAACCCCCAAAAAGCAAGTTTCCATCTGGAAAGAAGACCGAAGTTTGTAAAAGTCACAAAAGATATAACGGAGTGAAAATATTACTGTTCACCATGTCTCAGAAGACTAACTAGGCCTTATGCTCCCTTGTAACTTGCTGGTAGCAGTCTGAGATAAATTTAAAAATTGTCTAGAGTGGGAAGACGCGTTAGAGGTCTAGTCCAACCCCTTCATTTTACAGATGAGGAAACTGAGGTCCAGAAATATGAAAGGACTTGCATGAAGTCACTACACAGGTAGTGACTATAGAGCTTGAATTGGAACTTAGACCCCATGACTCTTTTGAGTTCATTCAGCATTTCAAATTCAGAACTCATTCCTCTATCTCACTTGTGACCTCTTACATGGTTGTTGGAAAAGGCTGAACCCCCAGAAGATAGC